CTTCCAAACACTAGTGCCCTCAGAGGGTAAACAAATCTCTCGACAACTCCAGCAGGGATTCACATACATTTGTGCATGTGGCCTTAGAGTCCGTGCAATGTTTTCATTTACAACTGCACAAGTGTTGCGTCTTTCGTGGACAAGTGGTGCGCAAGTGTTGCGTCTTTCGTGGACAAGTAGTGCGCAAGTGTTGCGTCTTTCGTGGACAAGTAGTGCGCAAGTATTGCGCCTTTCGTGGACAAGTAGTGCGCAAGTGTTGCGCCTTTCGTGGACAAGTGGTGCGGAAGTGTTGCGTCTTTCGTGGACAAGTGGTGCGGAAGTGTTGCGTCTTTCGTGGACAAGTGGTGCGGAAGTGTTGCGTCTTTCGTGGACAAGTGGTGCGGAAGTGTTGCGTCTTTCGTGGACAAGTGGTGCGCAAGTGTTGCGTCTTTCGTGGACAAGTGGTGCGGAAGTGTTGCGTCTTTCGTGGACAAGTGGTGCGTGGACAAGTGGTGCGGAAGTGTTGCGGCTTACGTGGACAAGTGGTGCGCAAGTGTTGCGCCTTTCGTGGAAAAGTGGTGCGCAAGTGTTGCGGCTTACGTGGACAAGTGGTGCGCAAGTGTTGCGGCTTTCGTGGACAAGTGGTGCGGAAGTGATGCGTCTTTCGTGGACAAGTGGTGCGCAAGTGTTGCGTCTTTCGTGGACAAGTGGTGCGCAAGTGTTGCGGCTTACGTGGACAAGTGGTGCGCAAGTGTTGCGGCTTACGTGGACAAGTGGTGCGCAAGTGTTGCGTCTTTCGTGGACAAGTGGTGCGGAAGTGTTGCGTCTTTCGTGGACAAGTGGTGCGCAAGTGTTGCGTCTTTCGTGGACAAGTGGTGCGCAAGTGTTGCGGCTTACGTGGACAAGTGGTGCGCAAGTGTTGCGGCTTACGTGGACAAGTGGTGCGCAAGTGGAACATGACGTTGTCCCGATAGCAGCTTGACTCAACGGATGCAGTTTTCCAGGTGAAATGGCGGGCCCAGACAACAGCCAACAATGATGTGCGGCCATGTGACTATTCAAACAGAGGCCAGAAAGGTTCAGTATTGGCGAATGGAGTTCTGAAACATTGATTTGTAGCCAACCAGCTTGTCTGCGTTCTGTCGGTGTTTTATTGTGTTGTGTTATGTTTTTTTCAATATTGTGTCAGTGTTGAGTTGTCTCGGTTTGATATTGTGTTGTGTCAGTGTTGAGTTGTCTCGGTTTGATATTGTGTTGTGTCAGTGTTGAGTTGTCTCGGTTTTATATTGTGTTGTGTCAGTGTTGAGTTGTCTCGGTTTGATATTGTGTTGTGTCAGTGTTGAATTATCTCGGTGATGATTTGTGTTGTGTCAGTTTTGAGTTGTGTCGGTGCTGTTTTGTGTCAGTATTTATTGTTAAAACTTGACCATTCTGGAAAACTTTACGTCTACCCGTGATCCAATTGATAAAATGTCCCTTCTAAAACTGGTCTAATTGATGAACGAGCCTGTCTAGAGATCGTGTGGCCTGAGAATGATTCCTCCCAGAAGCTGACAAGCCGTGAACTTGTCTGGAATATATATCGCCTGGATAAAACAATCACAAATTTATATTTGACAGACTTGGATAACACTGCAAGTAAACAAGCACAGACAATACACTCCAGCCCATCTTCCTCTAACGATCATCACACAATTTCACCTCCCCCCCCCCTTCCCCCACCCCTCCCTCAAGTGACGACCGCCACATTTCTCGCGGCAACATAATCAAATTGTGTGTGAAGATTGAAAGTGTCCACAATTGGAGAAACACCGAGTGATTTAATGACAGACCCACCCAAGGAAAGAGTACATCACTAGTTCCCACACTGCCTGAGGTATATTTGACTTGAGAGTTGTCACCACCTGAAACGGAAGCGCAGCCATAGTTGCTGGTTTCTTTAATGGCGTCGTTTATCTGAGTTAGAATTTCTGGGGATCATTTCGGCTCACTCTTCAGCTTCTAGAGGACATGAAAGCCTCCGGTCATCCAGTGCTACTTAATTTGTGGAGGATGTGGGGGATTTACTTCTGACTGGTTTGATGAGGGCAATTTACATAATTGGTTGGTCATCTAAGTGCCCCACAAGTCCGAGACACTGTGAAATGTTACACATGGTGGTATGTCCCAAGAGAGTGAAATGTTACACATGGTGGTATGTCCCAAGAGAGTGAAATGTTACACATGGTGGTATGTCTTAAGAGAGTGAAATGTTACACATGGTGGTATGTCCCAAGAGAGTGAAATGTTACACATGGTGGTATGTCCCAAGAGAGTGAGATGTTACACATGGTGGTATGTCCCAAGAGAGTGAAATGTTACACATGGTGGTATGTCCCAAGAGAGTGAAATGTTACACATGGTGGTATGTCCCAAGAGAGTGAAATGTTACACATGGTGGTATGTCTCAACAGAGTAAAATGTTACACATGGTGGTATGTCTCAAGAGAGTGAAATGTTACACATGGTGGTATGTCCCAAGAGAGTGAAATGTTACACATGGTGGTATGTCCCAAGAGAGTGAAATGTTACACATGGTGGTATGTCTTAAGAGAGTGAAATGTTACACATGGTGGTATGTCTTAAGAGAGTGAAATGTTACACATGGTGGTATGTCCCAAGAGAGTGAAATGTTACACATGGTGGTATGTCCCAAGAGAGTGAAATGTTACACATGGTGGTATGTCTTAAGAGAGTGAAATGTTACACATGGTGGTATGTCCCAAGAGAGTGAAATGTTACACATGGTGGTATGTCCCAAGAGAGTGAGATGTTACACATGGTGGTATGTCCCAAGAGAGTGAAATGTTACACATGGTGGTATGTCCCAAGAGAGTGAAATGTTACACATGGTGGTATGTCCCAAGAGAGTGAGATGTTACACATGGTAGTATGTCCCAAGAGAGTGAAATGTTACACATGGTGGTATGTCCCAAGAGAGTGAAATGTTACACATGGTGGTATGTCCCAAGAGAGTGAAATGTTACACATGGTGGTTTGTCTTAAGAGAGTGAAATGTTACACATGGGGGTATGTCTCAAGAGAGTGAAATGTTACACATGGTGGTATGTCTTAAGAGAGTGAAATGTTACACGTGGTGGTATGTCCCAAGGGAGTGAAATGTTACACGTGGTGGTATGTCCCAAGAGAGTGAAATGTTACACATGGTGGTATGTCCCAAGGGAGTGAGATGTTACACATGGTGGTATTTCTCAAGGGAGTAAAATGTTACACATGGTGGTATGTCCCAAGAGAGTGAAATGTTACACATGGTGGTATGTCTCATGGGAGTGAAATGTTACACATGGTGGTATGTCTTAAGGGGGTGAAATGTTACGCATGGTGGTATGTCCCAAGGGAGTGCAGTGTTACACATAGTGGTATGTCCCAAGGGGATTAAATGTTACACTTGGTGGTATGTCTCAAGGGGGTGAAATGTTACACATTTTGGTTTGTCCCAAGGGAGTGAAATGTTACACATGGTGGTATGTCCCAAGGGAGAGAAATGTTACACATAGTGGTATGTCCCAAGGGGATTAAATGTTACACTTGGTGGTATGTCTCAAGGGGGTGAAATGTTACACATTTTGGTTTGTCCCAAGGGAGTGAAATGTTACACATGGTGGTATGTCCCAAGGGAGTGAAATGTTACACATGGTGGTATGTCCCTGGGGAGTAAAATGTTACACATAGTGGTATGTCTCCTTCGGTATGCAAACTCCGGCTGGTAGTTCTGATTTTTCGTCCAGCTCTGGACTATGGTCTTGTTTGGAACTCGAGTTTGTACATCAGTTTTACAGATGTTGCCTGTTTGTGTTCAAACCGTTAGTTGCCCTTCTCAGATAGATGCACTCTGACTTAGTGACCCTTTACGGCATGCTAGTTAGGTGGCCAGTTAATCTATTCTAAACTCCATCCCCATGGCCAGGCTGAGGGGATGTAACTCCTGCCTCTTACAGTTGGTGTTCGTGTATGGCAGCTGTGTTTCCCTGATATCAGTCAGCCTCTATCCGTTAAAGCTGAGCTTAAAGCAGCCTCTTTCCGTTAAAGAAGAGCTTAAAGCAGCCTCTGTCCGTTAAAGCTGAGCTCAAAGCAGCCTCTATCCGTTAAAGAAGAGCTTAAAGCAGCCTCTGTCCGTTAAAGCTGAGCTTAAAGCAGGCTCTGTCCGTTAAAGAAGAGCTTAAAGCAGCCTCTGTCCGTTAAAGCTGAGCTTAAAGCAGGCTCTGTCCGTTAAAGAAGAGCTTAAAGCAGCCTCTGTCCGTTAAAGCTGAGCTAAGCAGCCTCTGTCCGTTAAAGAAGAGCTTAAAGCAGCCTCTGTCTGGTAAAGCGGAGCTTAAAGCAGCGTTTGTCCGTTAAATCGGAGCTTCAAGCAGCCTTTGCCGTTGAAGCAAAGCCTAATGCAGCCTCAGTCCGTTAAAGCGGAGCTTAAAGCAGCCTTTGTCCGTTAAATCGGAGCTTCAAGCAGCCTTTGTCCGTTAAATCGGAGCTTCAAGCAGCCTCTGTCCGTTAAAGCAGAGCAACTGCTATCTGGGGACATTACTGTGCTCTGTCTGGGACAACTGCTATCTTGGAACATTACTGTGCTCTGTCTGGGACAACAGCTATCTGGGGACATTACTGTCCTCTGACTGGGACAGCTGCCATCTGGGGACATCACTGCGCTCTGTCTGGGACAACTGCTATCTGGTGTCATTACTGTGCTCTGTGTGGGACAACAGCTATCTGGGGACATTACTGTGCTCTGTCTGGGACAACTGCCATCTGGGGACATCACTGCGATCTGTTTGGGACAACTGCTATCTGGGGACATTACTGTGCTCTATTTGGGACAACAGCTATCTGAGGACATCACTGTACTATGTCTGGGACAACAGCTATTTGGGGACATTACTGTGCTCTGTCCAGGAAAACAGCTAGAGATAGAGTGTAGAAAAAAAAACGTATTCTCAGCGGTCTCGATAGAGTATAAAACAATGATGTTCTCAAGAGTGTACATATTGTGTAGAATTTAGTTGTTCATTGTTGTACAGAACACCAGACATGGAATATTGAACAGACAAGAATGGAGCTTGTTGTATAGAACACCAGACATCGAATACTGAACAGACAAGAATGGAGCTTGTTCTATAGAACACAAAACATTGAATACTGAACCAGACAAGAATGGAGCTTGTTGTAAAGAACACCAGACATCGAAAATTGAACCAGACAAGAATGGAGCTTGTTGTATAGAACACCAGACATCGAATACTGAACCAGACAAGAATGGAGCTTGTTGTATAGAACACCAGACATCAAATACTGAACCAGACAAGAATGGAGCTCGTTGTATAGAACACCAGACATCAAATACTGAACCAGAGAAGAATGGAGCTTGTTGTATAGAAAACCAGACATCGAATACTGAACAGACAAGAATGGAGCTTGTTCTATAGAACACAAAACATTGAATACTGAACCAGACAAGAATGGAGCTTGTTCTATAGAACACAAAACATCGAATACTGAACCAGAGAAGAATGGAGCTTGTTGTATAGAAAACCAGACATCGAATACTGAACAGACAAGAATGGAGCTTGTTCTATAGAACACAAAACATTGAATACTGAACCAGACAAGAATGGAGCTTGTTCTATAGAACACAAAACATCGAATACTGAACCAGACAAGAATGGAGCTTGTTCTATAGAACACAAAACATCGAATACTGAACCAGACAAGAATGCAGGTTGTTGTATAGAACACCAGACATCAAATACTGAACCAGACAAGAATGTAGGTTATTGTATAGAACACGAGACATCGAATACTGAACCATACAAGAATGGAGCTTGTTGTATAGAACACCAGACATCGAAAATTGAACCAGACAAGAATAGAGCTTGTTGTATAGAACACCAGACATCAAATACTGAACCAGACAAGAATGGAGCTTGTTGTATAGAACACCAGACATCAAATACTGAACCAGACAAGAATGGAGCTTGTTGTATAGAACACCAGACATCAAATACTGAACCAGACAAGAATGGAGCTTGTTGTATAGAACACCAGACATCAAATACTGAACCAGACAAGAATGGAGCTTGTTGTATAGAACACCAGACATCGAAAATTGAACCAGACAAGAATGGAGCTTGTTGTATAGAACACCAGACATCGAAAATTGAACCAGACAAGAATGGAGCTTGTTGTATAGAACACCAGACATCGATAATTGAACCAGACAAGAATGGTGCTTGTTGTATAGAACACCAGACAACAAATACTGAACCAGACAAGAATGGAGCTTGTTGTATAGAACACCAGACATCGAAAATTGAACCAGACAAGAATGGAGCTTGTTGTATAGAACACCAGACATCGATAATTGAACCAGACAAGAATGGAGCTTGTTCTATAGAACACCAGACATCAAATACTGAACCAGACAGGAATGGAGCTTGTTGTATTAACTTGCCGGATTAGGTTCTCAAGACGTCAAACGTAGAAATATTAGAAACCACGTCTACTCAAAATGGAGGGCAGAAGTCAGGCCGTAACGTCTGAGTCATGCGCCATTATTACGAGTGGTTTTCGATCCTTAGGGCTGAATCAAATTTAAATTGAATCAATTTGAAACGAGGCGCTAAAAGTGAATGAAAACATGGCGAATTTTATTTGAGTTGTTATTCAGTCGTAGCTGTTTTCTGGCGGAGATCCAGGCAAACAAAAACCCATTTTCGCTATGTGCTTTTCTCTACATTTTCATAGAATGGTAGCGCGATAAAGTGGCAGCGTGGCAGAGCAGCCATTTAGTTGAGCAACGGATCCTAGTAACAGGCAGATATCACCTAACTGATCGTGCACACATCAACTAACTGATCGTGCACACACCACATAACTGATCCTGCACATATCACATTACTGATCGTGCACACACAACATAACTGATCGTGCACACACCACCTAACTGATCGTGCACATATCACCTAACTGATCGTGCACACACAACATAACTGATCGTGCGCACACCACCTAACTGATCGTGCACACACCACCTAACTGATCGTGCACATATCACCTAACTGATCGTGCACACACAACATAACTGATCGTGCACACACCACCTAACTGATCGTGCACACATCACCTAACTGATCGTGCACACCTCACCTAACTGATGGTGCATACATCACCTAACTGATGGTGCACACATCACCTAACTGATGGTGCACACATCATCTAACTGATGGTGCACACCTCACCTAACTGATGGTGCACACATCACCTAACTGATGGTGCACACCTCACCTAACTGATGATGCACACATCACTTAACTGATGGTGCACACATCACCTAACTGATCGTGCACACATCACCTAACTGATAGTGCACACCTCACCTAACTGATGGTGCACACATCACCTAACTGATGGTGCACACATCACCTAACTGATGGTGCACACCTCACCTAACTAATGGTGCACACATCACCTAACTAATAATGCACACATCACCTAACTGATGGTACACACATCACCTAACTAATGGTGCACACATCACCTAACTGATGGTGCACACATCACTGAGCTTGTCGTGCACACATCATCTGACTAATAATGCATACATCACCTAGCTGATCATGCACACACCACCTGACTGATCGTGCAGACAGCACCTAACTGATCGTGCACACATCACCGAGCTGATCGTGCACACATTACCTAACTGATGGTGCACACATCACCTAACTGATCGTGCAGACAGCACCTAACTGATCGTGCAGACAGCACCTAACTGATCGTGCACACATCACCGAGCTGATCGTGCACACATTACCTAACTGATGGTGCACACATCACCTAACTGATCATGCACACATCACCTGATGGTGCACAAAAACCTAACTGGTGGTGCACACATCACCTAACTGGTGGTGCACACATCCCCTAACTGATGGTGCACACATCACCTAATTGATCGTGCACCCATCACCTAACTGATCATGCACACATTTCTCCTAACTGGTCGTGCACACATTTCACCTAACTGATCTGCACACATTTCACCTAACAGATCGTGCACACATCACCTAACTGATCGTGCACACATTTCACCTAACTGATCGTGCACACATCACCTAACTGGTCGTTCACACATTTTACCTAACTGATCTGCACACATTTCACCTAACAGATCGTGCACCCATCACCTAACTGATCATGCACACATTTCACCTTACTGGTCGTGCACACATTTCACCTAACTGATCTGCACACATTTCACCTAACTGATCGTGCACACATTTCACCTAACTGATCGTGCACACATCACCTAACAGATCGTGCACACATCACCTAACTGGTCGTGCACACATTTCACCTAACTGATCGTGCACACATTTCACCTAACTGATGGTGCACACATCCCCTAACTGATCATGCACCTCTCACGCTCAACTGACCTAACTGATCCTGTTCACATCACCTGAATGATTTTACAACATAGACATCCATCGCTTTTCTCAACACGGACATCCATCCCTTGTCTCAACATGGACAGCCATCGCTTGTCTCAACATAGACCTTTCTCCCTTGACTTAACATGGACAGCCATCGCTTGTCTCAACATAGACCTCTCTCCCTTGACTTAACATGGACATCCATCCCTTGTCTCAACATGGACATCCATCCCCTGTCCCAACATGGACATCCATCCCTTGTCTCAACAAGGACATACATCGCTTGTTTCAACATGGACATCCATCCCTTGTCTCAACAAGGACATACATTGCTTGTTTCAACATGGACATCCATCCCTTGTCTCAACAATGGCATCCATCATTTGTCTCAACATGACATCCATCCCTAGCCTCAACATGGACATCCATCGCTTGTCTCAACATGGCCATCTTTCCTTGTCTCAACATAGACAGTTACATTATCCTTCCCCGTCGCCTGTCTTGATATTCTCGTTCATCGCCTGTTACAACATCCTTACATCGCCTGTTACAACATCCTTACATCGCCTGTTACAACATCCTTACATCGCCTGTTACAACATCCTTACATCGCCTGTTACAACATCCTTACATCGCCTGTTACTACATCCTTACATCGCCTGTTACAACATCCTTACCCTTCGCCTGTCTCGAAAACCTCATTCATCGCTAGTCTCAACACGGATATGCATCCATCCATTAACCTGAGCCTGTCTTAACTATAAACAACAATTGCCGTTTTCCCGCAAACTCCGCCATCTGCTGATTTCCCGGCAACTTCAAACACTCACCACCCAATCGCATTTATCTGTCATATTTACTCGGTACAGAGTGCGCTGGGGACGAGCGATCCCCGAGGCTTGGGTTTCCGTCTGGGCCAAACATGGCGCCGGATTTATCATATCATTTCCGGGTTGTTGTTTTTTTTGGTAACTGAGCTAACTACCGCAATTCGGGCTTTTTGGTGGTCGATTCCCGCTGTCTTCTCATTGTCTGACCCATTCTTCTCTGTCTCTGACCCATTCTTCTCATTGTTTGACCCATTCTTCTCATTGTCTGACCCATTCTTCTCATTGTCTGACCCATTCTTCTCATTGTCTGACCCATTCTTCTCATTGTCTGACCCATTCTTCTCTGTGTCTGACCATTCTTCTCATTGTCTGACCCATTCTTCTCAGTCTCTGACCCATTCTTCTCATTGTCTGACCCATTCTTCTCATTGTCTGACCCATTCTTCTCATTGTCTGACCCATTCTTCTCATTGTCTGACCCATTCTTCTCATTGTCTGACCAATTCTTCTCATTGTCTGACCCATTCTTCTCTGTGTCTGACCCATTCTTCTCATTGTCTGACCCATTCTTCTCAGTCTCTGACCCATTCTTCTCATTGTCTGACCCATTCTTCTCATTGTCTGACCCATTCTTGTCTGTGTCTGACCCATTCTTGTCAGTGTCTGATCCATTCTTCTCTGTGTCTGACCCATTCTTCTCTGTCTCTG